CAAGCCGGGCGGCAGCTGGGAGCGGAGGCAGGCGGCCGGCGGCGGCGGCGGCAGCTGGGAACGGTGCCACCCGGGCCCCAACCCGCTCGACCCTCAGGACCCCAGTCCCGACGCCTACTGCAACCTTGTCATCCTGGCTGTGCCCAACAGGGTGAGCCCGAGGGCACCCCGCCCCAGGGTGCCCGAGACGCTGCCCTCCCCTTCGCGAGCTTCCCGAGTCTGCCTTTCCCCTTCTGTGACCTCACTCAGGACGTCAGGGGTGCCCGGGACACAAGCCCTGGACTCCTCCTGGGACACCTCGCCCTGGGTTCTCCAATGGAACAAAAACTGATAATAGCCAATGGACTTGATGGGAACCCCCTCCTCCAGCCCTCCTTTCTCTCCAGTGCGGTCAGCGTTGGCACCAGCACAGTTAAGAGCCCGAGGACAGTGATCAGCAGCACGGCGGAGTGCCAGTCCTTGTCAGATAGGGACAGCATTCGCATTTAATTCTCACAGCAACCCCTAGGGGCAAAAAAGACCACTACTCCTATTTCTGGGGATATAGTTCTGATAAGAACAGATACTACACTTGATCTTAGCCAAAAGGCCGGGAAACGATGGCGGGGATATAGTTCTGGATTCTGGGGTCTGAATATTGAACCCAAGGCCTTTGCACTGTGCTACATTCCCAGCCCCTTTTTAATTTTTTATTTCAAGACATGGTTTCACTAAGTTACCAAATTGCCCACACTGGGCTCAAACTTTTGATTGTCCTGCCTCGGCCTTCCAGAGTGCTGGGATTACAAGAAAAGGAAAGAGACCAGAGGTTAAGTCACTAATCCAAGCTCACAGAGGCAGCAGGTGGTGACTTCAAGATTTAAACCCAGGAAGTTCAGAGCTGGTACTCTTGGTAACTAAGGTGGCCCAGGCAAAAGGCTTGTCTTCCCTCCCAGTCCCCACCCCACCCCCAGTCTCCATAGTCTTCCTTGCCTTTATTCCCTGACTAAGTGCCAGCTACATGCTAAGCAGAGGCTGAGGTGCTGCGGATACAGAGGTGAGCAGCGTTTGGCGTCCTCCCTTAGGGGGCCCGAGGTCTGACCGCCATCTTTAAACCCCAAGCCTTCTGCCGGGGATAGAGCTCAGTGGCACAGGTGCCTCTCATGGGGTCATGCCATCACCCCTCACTGGCTGAGCACTTTCCCCCAGTCTGTTCCTCTACATATCAGCAGTCCTGCTAACACATGAGTCACATCATTTCTCTGCTCCAGTTCTTCCAATGGCTCCTCTTTCATTCAGAGGAAAGGCTACAATCTACAATTGTTTACAAGGCCACTGAGGCTTCAGTCACCAGCGCCATTTCATCTCTGGCCTCGCCTCTTGCTACCCTCCCCTTGACTCCATCCCAGCCAAAATGCAGTCCTGGTAGAGTGCAGGAGACTTGTGCACCCCTGTATCACCCCTGGCACTTAGAACCATGCCTGGCACATAATAAGCGCTCAGTGAATGCATGTTGATTGAATGGCTGGATGAAGGCATTTTGTGTCATGTAGCTTGCCAAGATAGGGAGTGAGCCGGGAGACTCACTTTCCTCAGAGAAAGTGAGTTTGTGTCATTTAAACTGAAGCGCACAGAGGCAGCATATGCCTTCTCTATCACCCTGGACTGTGGGCTGTAGGGCATGGCCTGCCCAGTGCCCACCACTGGAGGAAGAAACAAGAACTTGTGGATTGAGATGTAATGACGAGCTGCTTTCCAGAGATTTCTGAGCCTCTGGTCTCCTACCTGAGTCACCATGGTCCCTGGGAAGACTTGGAAATTAGAGTCCAAAACCCTGATGCCAGTGCCAATGTCCTAAATCTGAGCCAATTCCATTCACTTAATCACTCTAAGCCTCATCTTTAACTATAAAATAAGGACCTGCCCGTCTATTTCGCAGGGTCACTGTAGTAAGCCTGGTGTAGTGATCAGTAAGTACTCCCTTCAATTCCCAAATGCCTATTTTGAGTTCCTTTTTAATTTATATCTTGGACTTTTCTAGAGACACAAAATAGGAAATAGCTTCATGAAGTTTATCTCTCGCCATTGTTATTGCCCTTCTGTGTTTCTTGCTTAAAGACATAAAGCGGTAAATTAAAGAAGTAAATCCCTCTTCTAGATATGCAATCTTAAAAAAGGTTTTACCCAAGAGCTTAAACTCCTTTCTTCAAGCATAGTATTCATCCTGCTTCCATTTTTGCACTGAGTAGTGGGAAGCTCGTATCTAAATATGACATCTAGTAGGCATCTAGTAGTAGTAACTATGTTGAACCTAAAATTTTTATAGACACAGAGTGATTGAAAAATATGATGTTTAGCCAGACATCAGGGTGCACACCTGTAATCCCAGCAGTTGGGAGGCTGAGGCAGGAGAATCACCATGAGTTCAAGGCCACCCTTGGCTACATAGCAAGTTCAAGGCCAGCCTGAACTAAATAGGAAGACCCTGCCTCAGAAAAAGAAAAGAAAAATATGATGTTTAATTTTTAAAAATTTTCTTATAGTAAAAGACACATTGCTATGTGTCTCCCTCAAAACACTCCTCTGTCCTTCAAACATGTTTATCCCATTATTCTCCCATGTTCTGAAGCCCTTCTGGAAGTCCTCTTTTGTGAGTGTCTTTATTTTTCACTGTTGTGGCTGCTTCAGTGTCCTAAAGTGATTCAAAACTTTTACTTTTCATTGTCATTTTGACTCTGGGGAGGAGGCAAAAGTCACACAGTGCCAGATCCAGTGAATAAGATAGATGAGGACAGACTGTAATATTTTTATAACCCTCCTTTTCCCTTGACTGTCACTCACTGGCAGCATTCAATATATTTTTTATCACACCCTCTAAAGACACTCAGGAAAGAGGTCTTCCAAAACAGCTCCAAGAATTTGGTGGAAAGAATGATGGAATATTAGGCCAGGCGTGGTGGTACACACCTGTAATCCCAGCACTTGGGAGGCTGAGGCAGGAGGATTGTTGTGAGTTTGAGATCAGCCTGGGCTACAAAGTGAGCTCAAGGACAGCCTGAACTGCAGGCTGTCTTGAAAAAAGACCAAAAAAAAAAAAAATAATGATGAGATATTGAAGTAAGGGGGGATATTTTGAGGAGGATTAATGGCAATGTGTCTTTTACTATAATAAATTTCAAAAATTTAAACATTCACCGCATATTTTGATCACATCACATATTTAATTATTCCTTCTCCTATTATGTGTTAGAAGCCCTCTTGACCTCAGCTTCTATACCTGTATGTTAAATTAGGGCTTATTTTAGATAAGCTTCATGAGAATCCATGAACCTCTCAGAAATGTGGGGTGCATTTTTCATGGCAGAAGTGCCAGAGTTGTCTCAGGATTCTGTAAAAGGGTCACAAGGCTCAGAGAGTACCATATAATGTCAATGGGAAATGTCTTCAAGATGAATTTAAAGGGGCCCCTAAGTGTGTGTCCGGAGTCTCCCCACACTATGTTTGAGGAAGCAGGGGGTCACCTGGAGACAGGTAAGGACCTGAGGCTCTCCTCCTTCTCTTCTCTGGGACAGGATGCTGCCGAGGAGTCCTGCGCACTCATTTGTCAGGTTTTCCAGATCATCTATGGGGACCAGAGCATTGAGTGTGTGGACCGGGCCGGCTACCACTACATGTCCACTCCTGAACGGCCGTGGCTTTGCAGCCGCAGTGAGTACCCAGGCTCCGGCCTCCTCTGCTGTCAAACAGGGATGGTGCTTGAGGACTCAGGGCTGATGAAAGCCTTTAGGGTCCTGATCTCAGCTACTGTTAGCGTCCCCTTAATAGGTGGGTAAAACAAGATGTTGATCTTCAGCATGACAACTTCAAACCTAGTTTCATCAAAGATGTTCAGATTGCCGAGTTCAGAGTGAGGCCTTCACACTTGGGCTTTTCTCTCCCTTAACTTGGACGCCCCTGCTCTGCAGAAATGGAAGCACCTGCAGTGTCTGCTGCTGAGCCACCCAGTCCAACTAGGTGCCAGGGTCCAACCAACTTTTCCAGACTGGTCCTTGGTTGCAGTCAGGCTCTAGAATACGAATGAGGCTAACAGAGGCATTTATTGAGCACCAACTATGTGCCAAACACAGTAGCAAGGTGCCAAATCTTACTGAGTCCTTAGAGTAACTTGTCGGTCCTGGTAGCCTAGCACAGGACTGGGTAAATCTCAGACAACCAAGAGGTACTCTCTGGGGCCACCTAATTCTGGTTTTACAGATGAGGACATTGAATCTCCCAGGTGGCAAATGGTGGGCTCATACCCAGGCGCATCTAGTTCCAAAGTTTCTATCTGCAACATCCTCCATGCTGCACTCAAGGTCATTAAGGGAATTCCTTCAGCTGTAGGCCCTTGCAGCAGGTCCCTGTTGAAATAGCCCCATAGCGGCACATTGGTACTTGTCCTCTGAAGGCCCCCATCATGGAAGCTGTGCTTGTTGGGAAGCTGGGATAACTCATCAACTCTCAATGGGATGGTAGACAAATCCATGACATAATCCAATAAGTACTTCACAAACTCATTCATTCAACAAATATTTGTTGGGCACCTACTATGTCAGATCCAGTGCTAACCATCAGGATGTACTGGTAGGAAAAACCAGATCCAACTCTGCCTTCCCAAAGCTTGGGCAGAGGCGGGCTGACAGTAGTGAGATAGTTATACAGATAACGTGTAATAAGGAACACAGATGATGTATAATAAGGAACACAGAGAATGTGTAATGAGGAACTGGCCTCACCAGAGAAGTCAGGGTGCAAAATGACACTGAGAGTGCTGAGATTAGAAGGGTGAGTCTAATGCCTGGGCAGGTGAGACAGCAGGCAGGGAAGAAGGGAAGTTCTCTGTAGGTGGTGCTGCTTTCACTGAAGATTTTGACTTCCTTCCCCTTTGCAATAGTCTTCTTGTCTTGCTTCAAACATGGTTTGCCACACACACCCTCCCAACGCACACCTGCCCTGCCCAAGGCCCCACGAGGTAGGCAGGAAGGGGTATTGTGCTGGCAGTGGGGAGGGGAGTTGCCCAAGGTCTGAGGTACGTTGGGGCCTGGAAGCCGGGGATGTCCTGCTTTGCTACTCTGACAGTTCCTCTGCTGGTCGCAGGTGAGAGCTGCCATACCGATGGGACTTATGCCTACGACGCCGACTTTAGCTGCTGCAGCTCCTTGTAGGTACTGCCCTTGTCGGGCACACCATGGCTCCCCTGCCCTTGCACAAACAGAGTTCCCCCTGGTCCAAGCAGGGTCCAACCCTGGCTTATGCTGGGACAGTAGGCATTGAGGGTAGGGGGTAAGCTGAGTGCCAGAATCTGGTGAGCTCATGGGATCCAGATCCCGGAGAGAGCTGGGGACTCCAGAGCCCAGAGCCAGAGGTTCTCTTTAAATACCAAGCTTAGTGCTGCAAAGTCCCAGGTCACAGCTAATTCCAGACATCATTTTGATTTATTGTGAGTAGTAGAAAACCCCAAATTGAGTAGCTTAACAAAGACATAGCTGATTTGCTTGCTTGCTTTTTCTCTTTTAGCTTTCTTTCTTGTTTCTGATATAAAATAGAGCAGGCATTCAGGTCCTGGTGATCACCTGGGCCTCAGGCTTCATTCCCTGCCCCATTCTCCTTGGTACCTCATGGACCGGGAAGGATGCAGCTCTGGCTGTCACAACAGCATGCCAAGGAAATCCTAAGGAATTTCATAGTGGGGCCGGGTGTAGCTCAGTGGTAGAGCACATGCTCAGCAAGGCCCTGGGATCGATCCTCAGCACCACAAGAGAAAAAAATTCTTTCCTGGAATTCCCACCCAGTGACTTTTGCCTACATCCCATGCATCAGCAGTTGGTCACACAGTCATAAGTAGCTGCAAGCAAGGCTGAAAACGTAGGATTGAAGTGTTTTCTCTCAGTTGGGAGTATTGCCCAGGTTCTGCTGAGGGTGACTAACTAACTCAGTTTGCTCAGGAATGAGGGGTTTCCCAGGATATGGGATTTTCATTTTAAAACCCCAAAAGTCCTAGGGAATCCTTATTAGTCACCCTAGTCATGTTACAAAGGACTTTGGATCAGCAAGTTGCAGTTCCTTTCAATGATATATGCTCTATTATTTGTTTTATCTTTTTAGTGGCAATAGATTTGCTTTCTAATACGGTGCACCCTTAGGCTAGGCCATAAACAACCTGATCTCTACTGGAGAGATGAAAATCATGCTAATGACTAACATTTACTGAGCTTGCTCTGTGCCAAATGCTATTCTATAAAGCACTCATTTTTTTTTATTAGCAGCTACATGGCAACATTACATGGTTACAATTTATTGCATATAGTCCATGACTTTAAGCATTTTACAAATTTTAATTCCTCTGTTTTTCACAGTGACACCAATTCTTGTCATCCCATCTTATAGATAGAGAAGCTGGAGAATAGGGAATTAGCCATCCAAGAATCAGGCAACTGGGTGGTAGCCTGAGATACGCACACAAGAGTCCACACCCTTAACGAGGAAGCTACAGCTTGTGCCAAGTTTACCATCTAACACAGCAGGCAGTGATATTTAGTAGTAACAAGCATTGGTGATATTAAACACAAAAGAGGAGCTTAACCTGCTACGAGAGAGGCAAGGAGCCCTGGCTGATGTGGGCAGTCAGGAGGGCCTCTTGGCACTGAGGACACTTGGATCCAAAACCTGAAGGATGAAGGGGAAACAGCGTCAGTAGAGGGAACAGCAAGGGCAAGGATTCTGGCCAGGGTAAAGCTTGGCTGTGTGAGGATCAGGCAGGAGGCTACCGTGCTGGTAGCAGAGAGTGGCAGAAGATGTCAGGGTTTGGTGGGGTATCTAGAAGGATCTGCCTGTCATAGGGAAACATGACTCAATGAGCACATTTAACAGAGGGTCTGACCCGGTTTGGGGGGTCACAGAAGACCTTTCTGAGGAGTGACACTTAGGGTTGGATGATGAGCAAGAGACAGCTTGAGCATGAGGTAAAGAGAGAGGCATGTGCAAAGGCCCAGAGGCAAGGAGATGCTTGGAGTACAGGAGGGAAGAGGTGGCCAGAGCACCAAAAGCAAGGGGGAGCAGTGAGAAGGGAGGTTGAGAAGTGACAGGGGGCCAGAATATGGGGTCTTGGAGGCTAAAATGGGGTCTCAGATGAGGCCTCAGGCCCATGGCATCAGTATGCCCACCCACCTCCAGCCTGCCTGGGGAGAGGAGCTGGAGGGAGGCGAGTGAAAGCCCTGTTCTGCCTGTTCCTGCAGCAATGGCTCCCAGGACACGTTCGAAGCATGCTACAGTGGCACATCCACTCCTTCTTTCCACGGCTCGCACTGCAGCGGCAGTGACCACAGCGGCCTGAGCCTCGAGCAGCTGCAGGATTACATGATCACGGTGAGTCGGGAGGCTGGGAGGCTGGAGCAGCCATGCACAGCATGTGCCAAAGCCCGAGGTCAGGGCAGGCAGGTAAACTGAGGCCAGCTTGTGAAGGGCCTCAACTCACGCCAGCTAACACTGAGTGTGTGCTGTGTACTAGGCACTTTTATACACCTTTCATGTACCATTTCTTTTCATGCTTTCAACAACCCCAAGAGGGAGGGGCTGTCATCGTCTCACTCACAGAGAGGCAGCCTGGAGTCAGGCAGATTGTGTCCCCAAGGAGGCCAGGATTGGGACTCCAGCGGCCATTCTCAGATATAGTGCAGGGGGGGCCTGAGTCCCCTGAGTGGGCCACAGAAGGGTTCTCAGAGGGGCCCACGCCATGTGTGCCCCCAGAGAGGGCTCTGGTTCCTTCAGGCAAGGGCTGGGCAGGCTTGCTCCTGGGACTGCTGCCAAAGGGGGTCCCTCCACAGCTGCGGAGTAAACTGGGGTCCTCTGAGATCCAGCAGTTCGCGCTGCTCCTGCGGGAGTACCGGCTGGGGCTGCCCATCCAGGACTTCTGTGCTGGTCTACTGAAGCTCTACGGAGACCGCCGCAAGTTCCTGCTCCTCGGTGAGCCCTGACCCACCACCCTACCCCTATTGGGTCTGAGTCATTCTTAAGCAGGGGTCACCCTGGAGAGTTTTCTCCTGATCCTTAAGCCTCTAACAAGGCCAGGATCTTGAGGTCATGGTGCAGACAAGGAGATGGAGGTACAGAGAAAAGAAAGGATTCCCAACAGTCAGGAAACAGGAATGAGGTCCTGCTGCAGCCGATTCACCTCCAGAGCAATGTCAGGAGGGAGACTGAGTCTTCCCATCTATCCCTAAGAGGAAGCTGAGGCTCAGAGGGGCTAAGGAGCTTGTCTGAGGTCATACAGCTAAGAAGGAGGGCTCCTAACCACAACAGGAGTGGGGGCTGGGGATTTAGCTCAGCGGCAAAAGCGCCTGCCTGGCAAGCGCAAGGTCGTGAGTTCGGTTCCGGTACCGGAGAAAAACCAAAAAAAAAAAACAAAAAAAAAAACCACAACAGGAGTAATAATACTAGTAAGCTAACATGGCAGCTACCATGAGCCAAGCACCATCTCATGGAGTGACCTCAGTTCTGGGAAGTAGATACAATTATCTGTCCCTATTGTGCTGGTAAGGAAACAGGCCCAGAGTAGCAAAGTAAAGTACCAAAGTCAAATAGCTGGTCAGCTGGGATGGAGGTCAGGTGAGACAACGTTTATGGGGTATATGTGTGTTCAAAGTTCCTTGTTATTTAGTCTTCACCCCCCTACCAGAATAGGTGCAATTATCTCAGTTTTACAAATAGGGAAACTGAGGCCCAGAGTGAAAGTCCTGTAGCTCATAGGTGGGAGCGTAGCGATCATAGCATGGGCACGAGCATCTGCTGTATGCTGAGCAGCATTTCATGATCGGTTAGCTCAGAGAGTTGAGGAACTTGGGCAAAGCCACACAGCCAGCGAGTGGCAGAGCCAGGATTTGAACTCAGATGTCAGAGGCAGATCCCTCCATGGGAGGGAAGGGGCTGAACCCTGGGAATCTCTCTGGCCTGTGGCCTGCAGGGATGCGGCCCTTCATCCCGGATCAGGACGCCTGCTACTTCGAGGGCTTCCTGGAGGGCATGGGCATCCGCGAGGGCGGCATCCTCACCGACAGCTTCGGCCGCATCAAGCGCAGCATGAGCTCCACGTCGGCCTCGGCGGTGCGCAGCTATGACGGCGCGGCCCAGCGGCCAGAGGACCAGGCTTTCCACCGCCTGCTGGCGGACATCACGCACGACATTGAGGCACTGGCCCCCGATGACAACGACGACGACGACGACGATGAGGACAGGTCCCGGGGTGGGGGCGACGTGGCTGAAGATAACTACTTGTAGCCTCTGTCCCTTGCATCCGGTCTCTGAGGCTTCCTCACTCTTGCCTGTGGAACCCATCCCTAGGCATCTTTGTTCCCTTATCGCACCCTTCATAAGGGTTCCATCCCCGGGTCTCCGTCCGAGGCCTTGGCGTCTCGGGTCCCTGCAGTACCGAGAGTTTCCTGCAGGGGGAGGGCGAGGGCAGATCCTAAAGTCCCTAGCCGCTGGGGCCTCAGCCGGAGCCTTGGCCTGCAGCCCAGGCGGGCCTCCCTTCCTCCTCCGGACCCTTCAGCTTTTCTCAGGCTGAGGGATGAAGAAGGGCTCCACCTGCTGGCAGATTGAGAAAAGAATTTCGGATTCAATCCACAGCGCGCACGCATACACGCATACGCACACACCTATTTTTTCTTTCAGAAACCTGTGTTCCTTCTATTTTACAGATTTGGAAACTGAGTTCAAAAAAATCACAGGAGACTTGACGGAATCTCCTGATTCTCCTTAGATATTACCTCGAATTTCTTCATCTCTCCAATCATTTTAGCCCTACCTTCGAAGGGTGGTCATGAGGAGTTAACAAAGGGCAAAACCTTAGTGTTGGGCCAAGAGCATCGTAGGTGCTCAATAAATGCTGCTCCCTTCCCCATGGAACGCCTCGTGGCTCGGTTTACTGTCTTTCCTGGGGCAATGGGATGGGACCTGTGGTGGGGTGAGGTGTTAATAAGGCTGTCAGGGAGCTCATGGTTTGGGAGGAGGAGCAGGATTCGCCCCTGCAGCTCTCTGGGGGCTCTGTGTCTAAGCTCCACACACAGACATACCCAAGACTCTGCAGACCAGGGTCTGTGGGAAGTCAAGGCAATTTGAAGGCAGAGCTGGATAGTTAGAGAGGTCGAGATGAGACCAGGTTTGGCACAGCTTGAGCCCTTGAGAGGAAGCCAGAGACATTCCTAGAAGAGCTAAAATTAATTTGTAGAACTTTACGAAGCCTCCTGCAGCCAGACACATGGCACTTACAGAAAAGAAGGTATAGTTATCATTAATTTTTAAAGAATATTATTGTTAGGAATTTAGGTCTGAAGTGTCATGTTTCATACTCAGCTGGTGGCAAACAAACATCCTATCATTACTGGCCCATGAAAAGTCCTTCTGACATTCTCCTTTAGTCCCTTTCTAGCCACACATTCCGCACACTCCTCCTCCCTTGCACCGAGAGCACGCACCCCACACATTAAAATGTTTCCCTGACATAGAATGCACCACACTGTGTGTGTTTATATAAGTGGTATTGCATAAGGACCTCATGCTGTTGCTTCCTTTTTTCACTCCATAATGTATTTAAGATCTACCCATGTTGCTGTGAGAAAATCTAACTTATCACATCCATCTGCTGCAAAATAGTCCAAGCTGAGCATCCACTCTTCTTTATCCATCTCCCCAGTGATGGACCCAGGTTGCTTCCAACACTGTCTTACCACAAACAACACTGTACTGAATGAGCATCTCTGTGCTCGACCCTCATGAACCCTATGAAAACTGTGTGCTCTATTCCCAACAGAGAAATCAATAGATCACAGCACACACTCATGGTAAGTGTCACTGAATTCCTCTGAAATGGCCCCTTCAACAGCATGCGAATGATGCTATCCCCCCACGTCTTCAAAAGCTTTTACATTTCCTGACTGTATCACTGTGGCCTATCACTTCAAGTGTAAGGGGACAGATCATTGTTTTAACTTGCATTTCTCTGTTAATTCTGAGACTTAGAACCTCCTCCTGTATTCACCAGGCATTTAAGCTTCCCCTTCTGTGAATTGCTTGTTCATACCTTTTGTTCACTTTTTATTGGATTTTCTATTTTTTATCTTGTTCACAAATTTTAGCTATCAATTTCTTGTTGGATGTTGATATCCAAATATCCTCTCCCAGTGTGTTGCCCATCTGTTAAGTTTATCTGTGGTGTTGCACCAGTGTCTCCTGGAGGACTTGGTAAAACGGAGTGCTGGACCCCACCACAGGGTTTCTGACTCATTGGAGCATGAGCGGGGCCTAGGAATTTACATTTCTAACCAGTGCCCAGGCGATGCTGATGGTCCAAGGTCCACACTTAGAGAACAACTAGTCTGGGGTGACTTCCTTTGAATGAATTTGCTTTATTGAACAGAGTGTTTAATTTTTATGTTTTCAATTTTTATCCTTATCTTATGGATGAAGGAACTGGAGCTGAAGGAGGTAAAGTGAATGAGCCAGGGTCCTATGATGAGTTGCAATTTCAACTCATATCCTGTCAACCCCGGAGCATATACTTCTATCCTTTCTCCTGTGCTGTTTCCAGCCTTTGGGATATAGTGCATTGGGACCTGAAGCAATAGGGAGCCTTAGTAAGTTCTTGAGTAAGACAACTATAGATGAAAAAGTTGACTGGATAGAGGCAGGGGCCAGAGATTGGAGCATATCTTAAAGGCCTGCAAGAGAAGCTCTGAAACTGCCCACAGTCCTAGTAAGGCACCGTGACAAGGCTGCTGAGAGGCAACATGGAGCAGTGCTTACATCATAGCTCAGAGGATGGGGCAATTTCCCTCACACCCCAAGAAAGCCCCTACCCTCCCCGGAACTACTGTCTTACCAAAGCCAGTAACCCCTTGGTCTCAGAAGTCCAAAGGGTGTTGGCTGGGGTGCCCAAGCACTGTGCACAGCAACTCGCCATACTTCCTCCTGCGGCATCCAAAGCGCTGCCAGGTCATTTCCTATCATGGTTCGGTTCCTGGCATTGCAAGAGGGGAAAACCCATTATGGGGAGGGAGCCGGTTCCCAAGGACCTCTAGGGAGTAGTGCAAGTGTGGAACTTCCCCAGCAGCTAGATCACCCGGGGACAGTTCTGACCCAAGGGCAAGTGGTGAGTAAAATTCTCACTAGCTGGCCCCCTAGAAATGGGCTTCTCCCATTTGAGGGCTCTGCAACATCCTACTCTGCCCAGCTCCCAGTTGGAGACTTCTACCCATCTTTCCCAACTCTGTGTTGAGAGAAAGAGTCTTCAGACCCTGTCATTCTGTCACTGGACATTTAGAAAGCACCTGCTCTGTGCCAGGCTTGGTGGAAGACACTAGATGGAGGTACAGCACTATTCCTGCCCACTGGCGGCACGCGGTCTGGAGCAGAAGGTGGGTCTCCAAGTAGTCATAGCACTAGATTCTCTATTGCAAAATCAAAGAGTGAGAAACCAGCTCCTTGTGGGAAATCTGGAAAAAGCTCTGAACAGGAAGTGATTTATAAGCAAGAGCTTCAAGCACAAGCAAGGGGACTGGCAAGCGGGGCTTTGGCAGGATTGGGCGAGGGAGGAGGAGCACCGAGGAGCGCGGCACATCCCAGACTGGCGGCCAGCTAGGACAGGGGAGTGAAGGCAACCAGCCAGAGGGTCAGGCTGAATGGTTTTCAATGCGAACACTGTCATCTGCTAGGCAGGTGACCTTGGCAAGCTCCTGAATGTCTCTCGGCCTCCGTTTCCTCATCCTTAAAATGGGGATAACAATAGCATCACCCTCATAAAAGCCTAATAAGATGTGGTGAGGTTTAATCCACATCAAAGTACACATAGTATGTGCTCAGTGTAAGTGGCTGCTATTATTTCTGCCAGAGTATGGGGTATGTGAGGCGAGGGGCAAGGTGGGTGGGTAGGAGAGGAAGTCAGAAAAGTGGGTGGGTTGAGAAGGCAGGCAAAGAAGTACAAGCAACAGGGAATGGCCTGGTGGGCTTGTATTTCTCCAGTCTCTACAGAGCATGGAGCTGCTGAGGAGGGTAGGTGGGGGTGGGGGAGTGTCCCTGGGGGAGGGGACTGGGACAGGGACTAGAACAAGGACCCTGGCAGATGCTAAGAGCTGACTCAAATGATCGAGAGGCATGAAAAAGAGAGGGTAGGTTCAAAGGAGGAGGGAGAGGAAAAGGACTCCCTTGGCTCAGAAATAACAGCCTCTCACACATATCCTTTGATTACACTCATTCGTTCACCCATTCACTCACTCATTGCACAACTATTTACTTAGCTCCTAAACCCTAGCCTCTTGGGACTGACATTCTAGGAGGTTACAGTGCTGTGAGACAATGTTACTTGCAGCTGCTAGATATAATAACAACCCAGTTAGGCCTAAATGACCAGAAGTTGATGGCCCTAGTTGTGGGTCCGAGGTAGGGATTCAGGTCCACTGCCAGGAAGTTCTCCTTCGTTTTTATGTGTATGGGTGGAAAGGGATGGGAAGGAAAATCAGCAACTTTGTCTCTAACAAGGGATTAGAAATAAACCAAATGTTCAATAATAGAGGAGTAGTTAGATAAATGGTGGTCTACACAGACATTAGAATATCATGCAGCCATAAATAAGAGCAACATAGCTCTCTAGGTGGGATTGATTTCCAAGATAGAGCAAAACAAGACCAAACAGGCAAGCTGCGGAACCCTGCACCACGGACGGTACTTTCTAGTTGTTTAAAGAGACAAGAAATGTGTTTGTGTATCATGGACTAATTCTGGAAGAGTATATAGAACAGGCTGCAGTTGTTGCCTCTGAGCTGGAGGAGTTGTTGGCTATAGATTAGGGAGGGGAGGAGAGTTTCTTTTCATGATGTGCTTTAAATGGTGTGCATGAATATGCATCACAGCAAAACCCTTTTTAAGGACCACTATTCTACTATTGCAGTGTTTATTGAGCTTTGTTGACACCATCTGCTTCCATATCTGTCTGACCTCTCCACCCACATCCCCAACACACACAGACCCACGTGCAGATCCTGTAAGGTCTGGGCTGCTTCTGACTCATTCCTGTACTCACTGGAGCTTAGTACAGCATCTAGAAGGAGCAGGTGTGTGGAAAATTTAAACGTGTATTCACATGCACTCCAAAATGGCCCCGATTAGCCCCACCTCATGGTAGTCCTGCTGTCTTTCACACCCTTCCCTCACGACTGGGTGGCCTGTGTGACCATTGGTGGCCCCCTTGCTCTCTTGAATGGATCAGTTGCTTTGGGGGAAGCCAGCCGCTATGTCGTGGCACACGCAGGCAGCCCTATGGAGAGCTCACGTGGGGAGGAACTGGGGGCCCTGCCAACAGCCCTATGACTGAGTCATCCTGGGACATCCTCCAGCCCCAGTTAAGCTGTCACGTGACAGCCTCAGGAGCCTCAGGAGCAAACCCAAGCCAGAACCCTGAGTTATCCTGCTTCCAGATTTTTGACCCATAGAAACTAGGTGAGAGAGTCAGGCATGGTAGTGCACACCTATAATCCCAGCACTTGGGAGGCTAAGGCAGGAGGATCACTGCTACATAGTGAGTTCAAGGCCAGCCTGAACTATATAGCAAGACCCTGTCTCAAAAAAAAAAAAAAAAAAGGAAGAAAGAAACTAGGTGAGAATAAATGTTTATAATGTTTTATTTTTTATAATGTTTTAAATTGCTAAATTCGGGGGTGGTTTGTTACACCTCAATGTATAACTAATATAATCAACAAATCTTTATAAAGCACTTACTGTGTATCAATTCAGTGTGAAATGCAAGAAAAAAAAGACATAGTTATATACTCAGGGGTGCAAGCCATGTGCCCGTCATCCCTAGACTAATGCATTCCTTCAACCAATATTTGCTGAGCAATTGTTCTGTGCCTGGCCCTGTGCTTAGTTCTGACCTGCAGGGTATTGGTAGTTTATATACACTCTAGGACAAGAGAAAACCTTCTGGAGTGATGGGAATGTACGTCTAATGCAGTTGAAGTTAGGTAGGCGTACGCACAGTTATAAAAACTCAGCAAACATTGATGTTTTTGCCCATTGTTAAATGTAATGTGTGTGTTACAGCAGTTTACTTTAAAATACATTTGGAAAAAAGAAAAAAGACAATTGGGTTGGGGTTGTAGCTCAGAGAGCTTGCTTAGCATGTGAAAAGCCCTGGATGTGATCACAAGCAGTGCACAGAAAAGAATTGATGCACAGATGGGATAGAGAGCAATGGTAATGGTATGGTAGACTGCGAGTAGTGACTATTGGAATTTCACTGCAAGATTCTTCCAGTTTTTCTGTGTGTTTTGGAATTTTCATAAGAAAATATTTGGAGGAAATGACATTTGATAACTATATGCACTAAGTCCCACATTTGTTGCTGTTATTATTTTAGCTACACAAAAACCAAATGTATTATAGTTTAAAAAAGAAAAAAGATGAACCTGCTATGGTAGCCCAGGCCTATAACCACAGCACTCCAAGAGACTGAGGCACAAGGATTGGACTTTGAGGCCAGCCTGGGCTACATAATGAGTTCAAGACCAGCCTAGACTATAGCAAGACTCTGTCTCGAAGACAAAACAAAACAAAACACGGGAAAAGTCAACTTCCTCCCTGATTCCAGTGTTCCTTTCTCCCTCAGTGACACCTGATCCTTATGGCTTGTGTAGCTCCCAGACCTTTCTCTGCACATTTATATGCACACATAGCTAAATACAAAATGCATTTTTTTAGAGAAAAATGCTCTCTATACTCTTGTGCAAGTATGTCTTGGGACTCTCTCGTGTTCATTCCAGCCTCTCAAGGTGCTGAGTGGCCTGGGGTTGTAGCTCAGTGGCGCAGTGCCTGCCTGGCAAATGTGAGGGCCTGAGTTCGATTCCTGGAACCCCCCGCAAAAAGAAAAAAAAAAGGTGCTGAGTAAGGATGTGGCTTCTTCAAGATGCAAGATGTCAGGCTCTTGTTGGCGCAGAACTCCAAGTCAGAAGGGCCAGGACTCCAGACGGATCTCCTAGCTCCCAGGCTGAAAGCTGGGTCCAGCATGTCTGCCACTGAATGGCAGGCGTGGCCATGCCAGGCCCCTTGTCCTAGCAGAATGCAGCGTGTGGGTCTGGCTCCGCCTCTCTGAAAAGAAGCAGTGCACAGCACCCAGGAGGAAGTCCTCAAAGCACTTCCTCTTTTCTTGGCCTCGGAGGGACACAAGGGGAAGGGGAGGGGGTGTTGTGAAACGAACCAGAGTCCTCCAACCCCCCTGGGGGGACCTGTCAGCTGGAGGTGGCCACAGCTGGGGGCAGAAAAACAATTTCTCCATTTCCCTAGCATCCCCCATCCCCTCGAGTCCTACCCTTCCCCAGGCAGGAGCTCGGCTGCCCACAATGTGGTGCCTGGGGCAGGGGAGCTTGGTGCGCACCCTAGGTTCCTCTCCCCACCATGCCCACAGGAGAAAGCCCCCGCTCCCCATCTGCTGCAGCCTTTTCTACCTGTCTTCCACGTCCATGCCTGGGGCACAGAAGCTTTTGTGGCTCCTCGAACAGGCCAAGCTTTTCTTCCCTCAAGCTGTGGCAGACTGGCCCTACTGTGTGCAATGCCCTTTCCCCTGATAGGCTACTGACATCCTTTGGGCCTCAACTCACATCTATTACCATTCATAAGAGGTCCTCCAGTGTGCACCCTAGCTGGACGCAGCATCCCTCCTACTTTGTCTATCTGTCTCTCTCTCTCTCTCTCTCTCTCTCTCTCTCTCTCTCACACACACACACACACACACACACACACACACACCATTTTCCACTCTGTATCTAAGTTATCAACTTTTATGTTTGTCTCTCTAATTGGATTAGAAGCTGCTTTAGAACCAAAACCATCCTTGTCCATTTTTATGCTCCCAGACCTGGGTTGAAACATACACACTAGGCCTTTAATAAACTTCACTATCTGGATGTGGTGGCGCATTTGGGAGGCTGAGGTAGGAGGATCACTGTGAGTTCAAGGCCTACAAAATAGGCCCATGAATAACCACCCCCACAGAGGGGTTGCCAAAAAAAGAGCAGAAGGAATAGACAACCAAAGTTTAAATGTGGGAATACGTCCATGGTACATGGTGGGGTCAAGTTCTCTAAAGAAGACAAAACACAGAGGAAGCTGGAGAAGGCTGGAGGGTAGGGGAGCTTTCTCCAGAGCAAGGGTCAAGAGCTTGCAAGAGCCAGAAGTGGTGGCCCATGTCTGTAATCCCAGCACTCGGAAGGCTGAGGCAGGAGGATTGCTGTGAGACCAGCCTAGGCTACAATAGTGAGACTCTATCTCAAAACAAACAAACAAAACAAAACAACAAAACAGAAGAACTTGCAGGGGGCTGTCATGAGTTTCTCAAGGCAGGTCTTCTTAGCATTTCCTTTGCTCC